AAAAAAAAAAAAAACGAAATGTAGTTTTCATGGGATTTAAACCAATCACCTACTTTCGGACTGCCTGGCCTGGGAAGCCACAAGAAAATAATTTGTTCGTGAGAAATCGAATCGAAAATAAAGGGCTTTGCGTCAAGCCCACGCGATCAGATCTGTTGAAGACGTCGGTCGCCTGTACAAGGTACACGTTCCATAAAGGCAGGTTAGTGACCTACCCACGTAAGTATAATGTGTCTGATTCTCTTCATGATCTTAAAGCCCAAATCCTACTCGAGAGACCTCCGGGGGGGGGGGTAAAGAGTGATGTTATGATACAATTGTGAATTATACGGCCTTGATGGTTATCTTTAGCGTGCAAATTTCGACATTTGGGAAAGATGTAAGAGGAACGATAAAGAGCACGGGGTTTTTCATGGTCGACGAGAAGCCCTAAACGCCGAAAGAAAGTAAGTGCCCGTGGATTTATAGAGGCATCGCCGAGGCTAATAAACACGCAAGGGTTGAATGCTTCGGCGACAAATAAATGGTTGGGTTTTATTTCCTCATTTCTTTTCTATGTCCCTCCCCTTTTCGAGATGTTTGTGCGAATTTACATTCTGGTTTGATCACAAAGCGGCCGGTTGGACTTTGCGGCGTAGAAATGTTCAGATTAAAGTTTTTAAAGTTTCTTTCAAAAGAATGAAATTAAAATATTTGTGAGTTCTTAAAGATCTAGTCATTTAACCGCATCGATAGAAATTTCTCGTGACTTTATTATGTATGCTCCATTTCAATTTCTTTTTATCAGTCTTTCTGGGGGACGTAAAGTGTTTCAGCATGTAAGGAGCACTGTCCTATCGTTATCACATTCCATCTCCTGTCTGAGTACCCGTTTCCTGCTTGGTAAACCGTCGAGGAATTAAGGGTTTCTTTAAGAAAACTTCTTCTTTCGCTGAGCTCGACATCAGACCCATAGCAGGGGGCTCGGGGGCTTTCGTGATCTAGAGGTTACGGTATTCGTATTGAATCACTAGACCCCGGGTTTGAAACCTGACAGCGACGGAAAATTTTGTTCTCTAAAATGCTCTCCTTTCACCTCCTTTCCTGCTCTCTGACCGTGTTCTGTCGTCTGAATTTGTCTCCACTTTTTGTCCCCCTCCGCCAGCCCCTCCCCGTTGGCCCCTCATCTGGGGTCCTGACTCTTTGTGCAGCCTTACTGCAGCCTGCTGCTATCTTCTTGACTCCTTCTTACTTCTGTCTTTCAACCACAACCCTAGTCTTATATAATAGGTAAGATCTAACACCTAGCCTTCTCGAATAAGGATGAGAAATCGCGGAGGTCCGATGTTCAAGTTGCGCACGTTAAAGATCATTTGGTGATTATAAAATCGATGAGAATAGGCTTCGACCGCCACTTGGGCAAAATTCCTACAAATCTGAAAATGTGTCCTGCGCACCCTTAATATGCCCTTATGCAGTTGTGAGTACCGTAAAACACTTACCAAAGAAAATAAAAAGACCCACAGCAGTTTTATTGCAAACTCAACACTCTCGCTGGACTGCCCGTCTGCCTTGATCGTTGGTCCTATGAAAGAAGTGGCTAGAGCCAGCGTAACCGACGTCTCTAGTGCTATGGTTGGCCTCCTCGCTGTTGCACGCAATAGACATGTGTTCGATTTCCGCTTGGGGACTCTTTTATCAAGTATCTATGTCTCCCCAGGCACGGGATACTTATCCCACTCAGTTTGGCTTTTCCCCTGAAATGCCTCTCTTTCATAGACGATTAACATGGGAATAACGTCGTTATTTTATTTTTTTGGAAAGATGTATTAAATGTTATTTGTTTTTTTTTTTTTTATTATTTATCCTTTATGTTTAGATCTATTTATCTTCATTTTTAAACGATATTTATGACATATGACATTTACAATTAATCATTTCCATCTCCGGTGACACGTGAGATCAACGATACAATAGGGTCGAACGGACGAATGGTTTATCTAAACCCCCTC